AAAGATAATAAAAATACAAAAAGTTATACTAACAATTAGCGTTTGCAAATGACTTAAAAACAATGATGCTTTAGTTACATTTCGGGCTAAATCTTTCACTTTCTGACTAAATCCTTCTTTGCGTATAAATGAAATTTCTTTACCAAAGTTAACTTCTGCGTCATTTAATGATGGATAATTAGGTGCAACTAAACGTAATTTAATTCGCATATTTTGTCCTGTATTAGAATTGCACGAAACTGTTAAAAATCCTTTCCATGTAACTGGTTTTTTAGAAATTAATATCATTTGTGGATGCCACTGAATAATAGCTTCGTAGTCGTCGACAACCATCATGACAAACTAATTAATTCTCACTATGTATTGTTATCGTCTATGATACCACAGAGAACGTAATTACATGATAAACCTGACATTTTACGGAACCTTGTATCTGCGGCATGGAGGCCAAGAAGACCCTTACCATTTTCGTGTCACTCTCAACGTTACCGATTTAACATAGTATAAGGTTAGATTAGTGGTGGTTGGAATTAAAATTAAACGTAACTATGAAATTACAAATAAGAAAGTAACGTAATTGATTATTAGTAGATAGTAGATCACATGCGTGTGTCTACTGCTATCAAAATATCGTGAACAGTTGTACTCACGCAATTCAATATATTTAGTTGTGTTCACTATGAAGGCTAACTTGTCGAGGAATTTAGCAAAACAGAAATGAATAAGACAAGGATAGGAATAGCGTTAGACAAGGACAGAAAATTTTCAAAACGAAACTAACGCCATCTCGCGTCTGGTGACGCGAACTACGATTTTTTAATAGGAACACAGGATATATACAGCGGTATTAGACAAGGATAGCACTAGTGTGCGAGAAGGATAGAGAGAAAACGTCTCCTATTGGCTGGCGGCCGGCTGAGCTCCACCAATTAGGCGCTAAGTCAAGCCGGTCGGTGAAAAATCATTACTATCTCGATAATTACGATGATTTTGTGAACTTTTAGAATTGAAGAATGAAGTGTGGACCTTCAGCAACTTTCTTATACAGTTTTTAATACGCTAAACCCTCTCAATAATTAGTTATTAACAATTTTAGCACGGGATGTCGGGAATGATGCCGTTTACATTTATATACGTTTACGGTTTTTCAATAATTTCATAGCTTTCTAATGAATTCCCATGCAATTAACTATATGCAGCTGAAAGATAACTCCTTCAGCTATATTCTCGTGTAACTTTTATGAACATATTCCGTTTAGTTTAGGAGTTATTAAATATTATTTGGGAGCGTCCCATATTCATCCTACTCGTGTATAGTGAACTGCTATAAACAATTGCTAATATCTAATAAACCACACCACTTAGGGCTTCCAAACTAATAGCAGAATATAGATAAAGGTCCATTCTACATTCTACATGCTTTAAAGTGTATAATTAGTCACGCATTAGCCTGTCCTTATCTAAGTAAACATTAACGTTTAATTTTTTACCAGAGGTACTATATTGTAACCACAGATGTCAGTACTAGGACTATTGGATGATGCTGCCAGCTAGTAGACAATTTTAGAACTAATCGTCACAGTTTATCAGCCTTGGGTGATTAGTCTATTCCAGGAATCGGCAACCCCAGCTTTCTGCAAAGTTCTCATGCACCTAACTACACGCGTCTGAAAGACAATTCCTTCAGCTACATTCTTATATAATTTTATAAACAGATTCAGTTTAGTTTAGGACTTATGAAATATTATATGGGAGTGTCCCCTATTCATCGTACTCGAGTATAGAGAACTGTTACAAACAATTGCTAATATCTAATAACCCACACCACTTACAGCTGCCAGACTAATTGCAGAACATAGATAAACGTTCATTCTACATTCTACAAGCTTTAAAGTGTATAATTAGTCACGCATTAGCCTGTCCTTATCTAAGTTAACATTAACGTTTAATTTTTTACCAGAGGTACAGTATTGTAACCACAGATGTCAGTACTAGGACTATTGGATGATGCTGCCAGCTAGTAGACAATTTTAGAACTAATCGTCACAGTTTATCAGCCTTGGATGATTAGTCTATTCCAGGAATCGGCAACCCCAGCTTTCTGCAAAGTTCTCATGCACCTAACTACACGCGTCTGAAAGACAATTCCTTCAGCTACATTCTTATATAATTTTATAAACAGATTCAGTTTAGTTTAGGACTTATGAAATATTATATGGGAGTGTCCCCTATTCATCGTACTCGAGTATAGAGAACTGTTACAAACATTTGCTAATATCTACTAACCCACACCACTTACGGCTGCCAGACAAATTGCAGAACATAGATAAACGTTCATTCTACATTCTACAAGCTTTAAAGTGTATAATTAGTCACGCATTAGCCTGACCTTATCTAAGATAATATTAACGTTTAATTTTTTACCAGAGGTACTATATTGTAACCACAGATGTCAGCACAAGGACTATTGGATGATGCTGCCAGCTAGTAGACAATTTTAGAACTAATCGTCACAGTTTATCAGCCTTGGATGATTAGTCTATTTCAGGGATCGGCAACCCCAGCTTTCTGCAAAGTTCTCATGCAACTAACTACACGCGTCTGAAAGACAATTCCTTCAGCTACATTCTTATATAATTTTATAAACAGATTCAGTTTAGTTTAGGACTTATGAAATATTATATGGGAGTGTCCCCTATTCATCGTACTCGAGTATAGAGAACTGTTACAAACATTTGCTAATATCTAATAACCCACACCACTTACGGCTGCCAGACAAATTGCAGAACATAGATAAACGTTCATTCTACATTCTACAAGCTTTAAAGTGTATAATTAGTCACGCATTAGCCTGTCCTTATCTAAGTTAACATTTACGTTTAATTTTTTACCAGAGGTACAGTATTGTAACCACAGATGTCAGTACTAGGACTATTGGATGATGCTGCCAGCTAGTAGACAATTTTAGAACTAATCGTCACAGTTTATCAGCCTTGGATGATTAGTCTATTCCAGGAATCGGCAACCCCAGCTTTCTGCAAAGTTCTCATGCAACTAACTACTCGCGTCTGAAAGACAATTCCTTCAGGTACATTCTTATATAATTTTATAAACAGATTCAGTTTAGTTTAGGACTTATGAAATATTATATGGGAGTGTCCCCTATTCATCGTACTCGAGTATAGCGAACTGTTACAAACAATTGCTAATATCTAATAACCCACACCACTTACGGCTGCCAGACAAATTGCAGAACATAGATAAACGTTCATTCTACATTCTACAAGCTTTAAAGTGTATAATTAGTCACGCATTAGCCTGTCCTTATCTAAGATAATATTAACGTTTAATTTTTTACCAGAGGTACAGTATTGTAACCACAGATGTCAGTACTAGGACTATTGGATGATGCTGCCAGCTAGTAGACAATTTTAGAACTAACCGTCACAGTTTATCAGCCTTGGATGATTAGTCTATTCCAGGAATCGGCAACCCTAGCTTTCTGCAAAGTTCTCATGCATCTAACTACACGCGTCAATAAAACTTATATGAGAATATAGCTAAAGGAGTTACCTTTGAAACGCATACATTTAGTTGCATGGGAATTTATTAGAAAGCTATGAAATTATTGAAAATCCGTAAAGGTGTTACACTTGTATTTACCTGCGTATTAAAGCCTAACATATTTTCGTTAATTCAATAGAAATGCGTGATTAATTATGCACTTTTAAGCATGGAGAATGTAGAATGGACTTTTGTTTATATTCTGCAATAATTTTTATAGCCGTAACTGATGTGCTTTATTAGATATTAGCAATTGTTTATAACAGTTGACGGTACACGAGTACGATGAATAGGGACGCTCCCAAATAATATTTAATAACTCCTAAGCTAAACGGAATATGTTCATAAAAGTTACACGAGAATGTAGCTAAAGGAGTTGCCTTTCAGATACGTATAGTTATTTGTACGCGAATTCATTAGAAAGCTATGAAATTATTGAAAAACCGTAAACGTTTATAAACGTAGACGGCATCATTCCCGACATCCCATGCTAAAATTGTTAATAACTAATTATTGAGAGGGTTTAGCGCACTAGAAACTATATGAGAAAACAGCTAAAGGTCCACACTACATTCTTTAATCCTAAAAATTCACAGAATGATCCTAATTATTGAGTTATTAATGATTTTTCCACCGATCAGCTTAACTTAGGGCCTGATTGGCGGAGCTCAGCCGCCCGCCAGCCAATAGGAGACGTTTTCTCTCTATCCTTCTCGCACACTAGTGCTATCCTTGTCTAATACCTCTGTTTATATCCTGTTTTCCTATTAAAAAATCGTAGTTCACGTCACCAGACGCGAGATGGCATTAGTTACGTTTTGAAAATTTTCTGTCCTTGTCTAACGATATTCCTGTCCTTGTCTATCTCATTCTCTAGTTCTATCCTTGTCTAACGCTATTCCTGTCCTTGTCTAACACGTTGTTCTAGTGCTATCCTTGTCTAATTCTATTTTGTCCTTGTCTAACTCATTTTTCTAGTGTCATCCTTGTCTACCGTTATTCATTTGCTTGTTTTTCCCCGCTATTGCTATCCTTGTCATTCTTATTATACTTAATTGATACTTATAATATATTTTAAACTGTTTTAATATTACGAATAATGTAGATAGTAAAATAATGTTTTTGGTTTAGTTTCAAGTATTTTAATTATAGAAAAATTAATGTTTC